GAGAGGTATCTTGCCTAAATATCTGTCGGGCATTTACCACAACCTACTGTGTAGGTATGTTAGAAGAGAATACTGTTTCGAGATTTCATTTCGAAGAAATATTTTTTTTGCCTATGTATGTCTCCTTGATGCAGTCTCCAGACTTATTTTGATTTTCGATGACTTCTTCATAACTAAATTACTCACCTCGGATAACACTTCCTCAACTCTCTCCACTCTTTGTTCGTAACTGATTGATTTGTCCATTCGAACCAGAGCCTGAAAAAAATATTGATCAATATTGATGATAATATAACAATATCATTTCTTTGGAGTTATGAGATTGTATGTTTATATTTAGGAGAGTCTTCTCATATTTTCAAAGTAATGATACTCATAACAATGAAAAAATCTGTTTAAAATCTGTTTTTTCGTTAACCAGCTGTCGCACCCCTACGAACAACAACGACCAACACGGCGGTCGATTTGAGTGAGTGAACAGAGCACCCACGTTGAACCGACCGGCTACCGACCGATTAGTCATTAAATATAAATGAAAAGTACACAAAATGTTCAGTTACAGAAGAGGCAAGTAAACAATGGCAAAATGGGAGGGGCATAGACAAAGTTGTGTTGTTGTACGTGACATAACCATATTAGTAGAAATAATAATTTAAAAAAATGTATAAATGAGTTATATGAATAAAAATAAAGAATATGTTCATTGAAATCAGATAAAATATGGAATTTACTACTTGGGACCAAGTGAATGTGTAGAATATTTCAGTGAAATGGAATACATGGTTGGAAGCAGAATACATTTCGAATGGGATGAAGAAATCTGTAAGAATCTGTTGAAGGACCAGAGTCTGGGTATTAGATGGTAGGTTTCAAAATAGTTTTCGAAAATATCGAAGAAGATGTGTTTTATGCAAATACACTCTTGATATATATTTTCTATGTGATTAGTAATAATCAATAAATTGATGGATGTAGCCGTTACTACGTGATAGGAAATCATAATATAGAAAAAAAAATTCTATGTTTTTTACCACTTTCATTTGTAACTAACGTTACTGCAGTTTCGTCCTATACGGACATTTTCCAAACTTATACAATAAGTTTGGAAACTGTCCGTATAGTACGAAACTGTAGTTACGTTAGTTACAAATAAAAGTGGTAAAAAACATAGAAAGTTTTTTTTCTTCATGATAAATAGTTTACTGAAATATCATTCAATGAGAATCGTCTGTCTAGCTTTCGAAACATTGTTGGTGTAAATTCGAATATCCAACACCAATATCATTTTGTTGTACCATATTACATTTTAATTGATATATGAAGACAACTCACCTGAAAAATCAATTGTTCTCTAACTGTCATACAAGCGATAAATAGATCATCTTGTTGAACGTAAGCTGACAAGCTGGTCAATTTTCCTGAATTGATTGGAATACCATTCACACATCTTGTTCCAGTTACAACTACTTCTCTCGTTGGTCTGAATGTTAAGGCATTCAGTAGTGTCGTTTTTCCAGCACCACTGGATCCAAGAATTGCTAGAAGTTCTCCAGGGTATGCCGCACCAATCACTGCAGAAAATATTGGCAACATTAGTATTGTTTCATTTCCATCTATAACTGTGTTATAATTCATTTATCTCATTCTTATAATATAATTTTCCACGTTAAAATTATTATCGTAACTATACTTAGTCATTAAAACTCCCAATTTTTGCACCACTTGGTATTTTTAGGCAAACATTGATGCCATTTTCAAAATAACTCCTTTATTGTGGTTCAGAAAAATGAACGATAACCTTAGTTACTTCAGAATCTGATGAATTCCAATCTCCGATTCGAAAGAAGCAAACAAGGATCGGGACAAGAATTTATTTCCATGAAAAGAAAGGGTCTCTGAAAGAAATTTACAAGATCCACAATTCCACCACTAATACAAGAGGATGGTTCAATTGCAACAACAGCCATAGAAAAAGCAAATCTACTTGATGAACAATTTGCGTCCCACTCCACAGTCGATTTTCTAGTGAAGGCACCACCCACTAGTCCCACACTAGAATCCACAATGCCGAAAATTACTTTTCGACAGCGTTTAGTCAGGTGATTTTCAAAACAGCTCAAGAGTGAGAGGCCCCGTTTTTTTGTATTTGATAATACCATTTGTGACTCGAATTGACAGCTCCAGTTTTCTTTCTACAAAACGTTATCTTTCCATTTTCGATTCCTTCTTGAGGAGTAATCGATTTCGCCGAATATGGACATTTCACCTCAATAATGGCAGTACCGTCTTGCGAGACTCCTTCTGGCGAAGCACCAAGAAATTGTTAATCTTTATCGACGTAAAGACCATATTTTAGTATTTTTTGCTTTACTTCTATTTCGAATGCAAGGGCCCTCCCTTTCTTCGTATTGCTTTCCATGCATCTCCAAAATTTGATGGCGTTATTTTTTTCCCTTTCGTCATGCCATAATTTGCATCCACTTTGGGTTCTAGAAAGGATTTCTATTTTTTTCAGCTCTTCAACGGTTTTTCTGAAATTTTCAGCGATGTAATCCTCTTTACATATTTTGAATCCTTCATCATCTAAATCTGTTTTTTTGCAACATTGACTGTAATCCTCGTTGTTACTTTTTTGCCAGGCCCTGTTTTTAATGCAAATTTTGCGACGATGTGTGTATTTCCCCTCAATTTTTTTTGATAGAGCAGGCCTTCTTCCTGTTAGCGACTGCGATAAAATGGACACAAAATGTTTTGTATTCCATTCCACAGCAGAAGCTTCACATCTTGCTTGAAAGGATCGTCTTGAACAATAATTGATCCGTTTTCTACCTATGTGTTTACAAATGATGAAATTAAATTGTTCAACAGTATTCGTATCGACATTACATAATAAACTTTTGAAATGCGTAGCAAGACATTTGACTGGGACCATCATTATTTCGTATATAGCGGAAAATACAATTCGCATATCATCAATGTTTTAATTTGAATATTCTAATTAAATTTCAATCTCATCTTGATAAATGTAAGTTTCATATCAGTTATTATTGAGTTTGCATTCGACTTTTCATTGCAGAAGTATGATTAACAATTTCTGTGTTCTCCTAAAATATGACTGGGCCCATTCAATATCTTTCCTTGAATTTTCAATTTTTTCATATAAAAAAGCATTTTCTTCTGATCTATATTCAATAGCCCTTGGTACTGAAGACCTAAACTATTCATTGGTTTTACTATCCATTTGGGTTTTTGTATCTTCACCAGAATTCGTATCTGATGATGATATCTCTTTGTTATCGCTTTCCAATTGATCTGCAAATATATTTTCCATATTTGGATCGTTATTCTTATTATTTTCCAATATTAAAGGTAACTCATTCGTTACCTGGACCTGAAATAATAAAGAATAAGACACATATATAATATTTATGGAACTAATGAATGATATGTTGTGAGTACAGAAAGTGTAATTCACGGCCTAGTGCATAAAGTTGAACTCTATAAATACGCGTAAAATTTTTACGGCGTATATAATGTACGGCGTAAATAAACTTTTCACTTCTCCAGTACAATTCTAGGTTTCGGTTCACAAAAGTATTTCTTTGAAAATAAAAAAAGTTTACTTACTTGTATTTGGATAGCTTAGCGATTCTTGTTTATGCACTAATTCGCCTTATACTCAAACTCATTATTTTTTTGGGACCAACGTCTCTCCAACAATGTTTGCTTTCCATATACATATCGTCCAACAACCTTCTATTTGTCTTTTGATGTATATTGAGCACAACTCATACTTTACGAACTAAACTAAACCGAAATAAAACAGCAATAATCCAACCGCAAACCTAGAAACACGATTACAATGTATTTTACGTACCACCACTGTCGAGTTCCTTCTGTACCGATATTGTAAGTTTGTTCTGGTTCTGCGAAATTCAGGTTCTAGGACGTCAGGATTATGCGCAGTTGATATAGAGCGTTCTGGTTTATTGAGGATAATTTCGGACTGATGAATCCTCTGTTCTGGTTTCGACTGCGAAATGATCCTCAACTGTTTTGAACCGTCCCGAATCGGTCTTGCTCTCGAGGCTGAACTGTTGAGAACTGTTCCCGTTGCTCATGCGCATTCATGTGGAAATTTGTTTGGGCTATTTGGTAGGATGTTTTTTTATTTATTTGATTTGAATAATTGATGATTGAGGGTAGATAACATTTGAACTGACTATAGGGATACGCTACATAACAAAATGGACATGATTAATAGTATTTTCTCGTCTTCGTCTCTTTATATATACGATAGGTGGCACAGTGGTCTCCTCAAAAGCGTTCTGGTTCAAACAAATGTCCGAGACTATTTCGGACTGTTTGAGATTTTTTGTTTGTACGCATCATGTCTTGCGCAGTTTCCAAACGTTTTGGGATGTTAGAACCAGAACAAACCTTGTGTTTATGCGCATATCTCGGCTACTTGCAAGCTCCACCTTTTCCCTTCCTCCCGCCTGACCCTTGCACCCCTCAGAAACTGTTCGTGAAAGGCCTGACACTGTTTATATCAACAAGGCGTCTGGCTATGATGAAGTTCCCGTCATCGTACTTAAAAAGTGCGCAAATGAACTCGCACCAGTATATTGCAGACTTTTCGACCTTTCTTACAAGAAAAGGGTTTTTTCTTCTTGTTGGAAGATTGCTCGCATTCAGCCTATTCCCAAAAAGGAAAAGAAAAATCTTCCAAATAACTATAGACCAGTCGCTTTGCTCTCAGTGATATCAAAAATCATAGAGAAAGCCGTAAACCACCATATCCTCAAATATTTGGAAGGCTTCAACACCTTGAGCGTTCATCAATATGGCTTTCGGAAAAAAAGATCAACAGGCAACTTTCTATCGTATGTCACTCATATTTGGAATAACGCAATCGAGAAACATGGAGAGTCAATATCTGTTGCACTTGATATTTCTAAGGCCTTTGACCGTGTGTTGCATGAGGGTTTGCTGGCCAAACTTCGATGCTATGGCTTGTCAGATCATTTTTGTGTATGACTCTCCAGCTACCTGAAAGAACGTTCCCTGCAAGTGGTCGTCGATGAATATCTCTCGAACAGATACGAGATAGAAAGATAGATAGACGTTTATTGGCGACGTTACATAATAAATTACATTTGTAGCAGGTCATGAGGTGAGGTATGTATAAAATAGTAGAACACAGTATGCACTTCAAAACAAAAAATCATATTGGCATGAAACATTATAAATACAAATAAAAGTTGCCAAGCAGGAAATCAAATAGGTGAATTATTAGCGGAGTTTTTTAGCGAAATATGTTGGGAGGCAGATCTGTGAATATGTATCATAAATGTGTGACAGACAATAGGACAATACTTTATATATTGCAGGCCATACATTCGTCAACTGTGTAGAAACAATGGTGGGAGCATATTTTCTTGACTTCTGCTTTGTATTGATTATAATTTAAGTTTTTAATTTCGTCAGGTAATTCGTTATATATCCTAATATGAACAGAGTTTCTGGTTGACTTGCTTAGACGATGTCTTGGTTCTTTTAGCTGATTTTTATTTCTGGTATTGTAGTTATGGAACTCCACATCAGTTGAGTAGGCATTTTTGTTTTGATGTATATGTAGTAGTGAGTGGTATATGCATAGGAAAGGTACAGACATTATTCCATACTCGGCAAACAGCGACCTGCATTAGCACAGTTCATTTATATGAGCGGACCAGTTGAAATTATCGTCCAAGGTTATTCCAAGGAGTTTAACAGTGCCACCATTTGAGAGTATGTGATTCGCGGAAAAGTTCAGTTATTGTGTTTTGTTTCTGTTCAGGCAGAGTAGATTATTACTATACCAGTTATCTGATCTGCTATATTTTCCACCTCCTCTTCAATGTGCGCAAGTCTGAGTGTCTGTTAATCAGTTTCACCATCAACGCTGGTGTAATAATGTCAGGACAGATAATTTCGCTTTCTGCTTCGATCAGTTCATTGGGTTTTGGCCGTGGCACAATAATGTCGCAGCGAACTACGAACACTGCTTCTCAAAAGCTTGGAACGCTGTTCTGAACCAGAAAATTGTACACACCTCAGCAACTTCTGATGCTTCATAATGCTTAGATCAGACCTTCTTTGGAGTATTATTGTCATGCTCTCTGCTCCCAAACATACACTGAAGTTGCTAGATTCCATCTGGAAAAGAGCCATCCGCCTGATTAGAGATGCGAACATTACGTGCAACCTTGATAGCATGGAACATCGAAAAAAGGTTGGAGATTTGTCTCTCTTCTATAGCTACTTTCACGGGAGGTGTTATAGTGACTTGGTACATTTGATTCCACCAAGAGCGCTCCATATCATAAATACGCGACGGACTGTGGCTGCTCATCGTTTCGAGGTTCAACTCAGTACACCTCGAACTTCACTGTTTAAGAACTCTTCTATATGGAGAACTGCGTTTATGTGGAATAAACTTCCTGAAAACGTTTTTCCAAATAGATTTGATCTCCAGCGATTCAATTGAGGATATTTCTGTAGTGCTTGTGTTTTGTCCTTGAAAAAAATAGATGAGTGATTGTTGTTACGTACCGCCATCCATGACAGAAGCATGAGCAGATTTAACTCATTCGTGAAATACAGTCATAATTTTATGAATGAATTGAGTGCTTGATTTCGTGATGTTATCCAGATTAGTGCTGAAGAGGTAATAAGGCAAATATATTATTCCGAAACATTGGATGTCCGCCATTGAGGATGACAGACAGTAAGTGATATGTTATTTCTTTCATACACTACATTGTGTAGTGTATGTAGTGTAGTGTGAATGATGTCTGATTTAATTCCATAACGGATGTTTGGAGTATAACTGAATAGGAAAATGTGTTTTTGTATAATTCAATGTTCATATAAAAGTATATCAATGTTTGTATGAAAGTAGTTATTTCGAGAGCGTTTTTTTTCTTCAGTTCATGTCGGAAAGTTACTTCTTAGCATGGTCTACACATCTTTGTGAAGAATCTATTTTGAAATGAATTGCTTACTACTTTTCTTCGAAAGATCCCCACATTTTTGTATGAAGATGGAAAAGAAGAAAGTCGAAACTTCTTTCCCAAGATGAATCTTATTTCAGATATATACTGAATATTAGACTTTCGTTGGACAAAAATGAACAGAGATGAAAAACACAATAGTCAAGATGAAATACTATTAGAATTTCATATGATTCCTTTGACATTATGCTTTTTATTAAATTGTCTCCTGGATGCACTCTCTATCTAGATAGATAGATATTAATGACTTCAGTATGTACGGTAATTGTTACTGTCAGATTTAAAATCACAACTTTTATTAAAATCAACACATCAAAATATTATCACATCAAAACATATCACATCAAAATATTACACATCACATGGAAATAAATCAAAATATTATGAATATCAACAATTGATATGAACATTTTTCTATGATTAAGTGCATTATCAGTAAACTGACAAGAAATCTAGATATCAAAGAGATGGCGTTTCCATAGGAAACCCATTTTTGAAAATTCCATTAGGTGAATGAAATATACAATATTTAAATATATTCACAAGTGGAAGTGGTTTCATATAGATGTCATTAGATTGACTGGGGTGGATAATGACCGTTTCCCAACGGACAAGGAAATAAAGATTTAAGGAATGCAAATATAACAAAAATATTCCAAAATATCTGGATGAGGTTCTCACCATTTTTCAAAATGTGCTTTTTTTGTCCTCCTGTGGCAATGCTTTCTCCACAACATATATACTTTTTTCTTATGTGGTCATTACTAGCAGCAAATGCATTTATATTGTTCCAGGTATACGTTATCCTTTCTCCTATTGGTACTACTTTTGCTGCTTTGGATCCCAATTCTGTTCCATAAAATGGAATTCCGATGTATCCGAGTTTGATTGATGATGCCCCAGAACTACTTTCACTCTTGAAAAGAAAAAACACAGTTTAAAAAGTAGGGAGAAAAATGTTCACAAAAGTCGAGTGGTGAATGTCAGTATTCTTTCCCTTTTGCATAAATAGGTACAAAAAAAACAAAATTAACTGGATTTTTTCATTTAGGTGCAAATAATTCGATGTTTTTAGTCGATACCCTAAATGAAGTCATATCTCTCTGTAAATTTAGTTCAGGAGCGAGTCTACAGATTAGATGGATGTCGAGTTTACGACTCCAACTGAATTCCCTGTGAATTTAGTTCAGAAGCGAGTCTATAGAGGAGATGGATGTCGAGTTTACGACTCCAACTGACCTCCCTGTAAATTCAGTTCAGGAACGAGAGCTGCGGCGTACACAGAATCTGTCTCAGGTGGGGGAACTAACCCTCCATGAGCAGGTTTAGCAAACGTTTGCAATCAAGTGAGGTTTCACCAAAACCAGAGGCAAAAAGCCCTGCACGGCTAAATCTAAGGCATCGTCAGGTGTAGCTGACGTGCAAAAACCCTCATATGGAAAGGTTGTCGTGGGTATCAAGGTGGGAATCTTGCAACTTGACAATCCGACTACCTCATTTACAGAGTATATACTTTGTGCCTGCCCCGCTGGGGACCGAATCAGGTCTTTAGAGGTCGGCAGAGCAGTACTCTTACCATCTGACCTGAAAGACCACTCACCATACAAACTAATCGGCTTCGTTAAGAAGCTGGGTTTGTTTGGCCGAGTGAGAATAGCTGTGAAACACAATAAACCATTGCGGGTTGCGGTGGAGGGTTGAATAGACCCACTCACTTTGGACCTAACCTAACCTAACCTAACTTATCTAAACTAATATCATCAAGATATTTGTTTTTTATATGTTTGTTTGTTAGTAGTCCATAAACTCAAAAACTTTTTCGACAATTTTAAAAATCTTTTCACAGGTAAAAAAAATATCTCATTGCACCAACATTTTCATTAACTTTTCAATGTCACTCATTGAATTATGACTATAATGATGATATAATTATTTCATCATTATAGTTTATTCATATACAGGGCTTTTTTTAGCTGTCTTTAGCTTTCTCGTAAACGGTAAGACCTACAAGGTCGAATAAATTCGACAAAAGTTTTCTATTTTAAGGAATTAAAATAATCTTTTCTCAGATCAAGGATATCAGTGGTTTTTTCTGAAATATTCACCAGAAACTAAAATTATCGAATTTCGATTTTTGGCAGTATCACCTCTTAGATAGACAAATGTGCAATGGTCCATCTCAAAAGAGGACGATGCTGGGACTACGAAGAGGATGTGCAGCTCGTAGATGGAAGCATCCTACACCATTTGGATGCCGGAGAGACGTTGAGTTTGGAGTGTCTAAATGATAGAATGGTACTGGATGTAGCCTGTAAAGTCGTCAATACTTCGAATCTCCTTCTCTGCATGGTCCATACCATGAGAGACCAAGAATTGAAGCATTTCTGTTTAGGGCAACTGCCCGAGCAGCTGATGAACTCGGTTTAGTTTTCGATACTGAACGAGGAGATTAAAACTCTTTCATCGAGTTGGAATCCGTTCAGCAAAAAGCACATATAAAAGCCGCAGAGATCACCTCACTTCTGCGGAAACACAAGGATAAGCCAATGCATAGGGTCTTCTTCAATAACATTGAAGACCTTGGCTCATCAAAGCGGCTGACTTTCGTTTTTCTCAGGTCGAGTGGGTTGAAGTCTGAAACTGGGGGGTTCATCATGGCTTGCCAGAATGGTGTCTTCAACAACTTAGTCTTCTGCAGTCGCGTAATGGATATAGAGGTTCCTGAAACAGATGCAGGGCCTGTCGCGAAGCGTCCAAGACCCTAATGCACTTTACTATCAGCATGTTCAGCATATGCGGTCTCGGCCTATATCCATCGACATAACGCGGCCCTAAGGGTGCTATATTACCATCTACGGCACTCTTATGGTATTGACGAGACACCGGTGTTGCCCTGCGCTCCGAGGGATATTGAATCCGTTGTGGGAAACGAGAAGTGCCGAATTTATTGGGATATTCGTTCCCCACGCTCAGGCTCATACGAGCTAATAATCCTAATGTAGTCCTTCTCGACCACCAGAGCAAGACGATATCTGTCGTGGAATTTTCAGCTCCTGGCGAGACGAATATCGTCCGAAAAGAGGAGGAATAACGGATAAAATATCGAGATTTGCTCTTCGAATTCCGCAAGCTCTATCCAGACCACTCTGTCAAGATAGTTGTTCTGATTATTTGAGTCCTTGGTGGAATGATGTCCTCTCTACTCTCGAATCTTAAAATCATACCGGCTTGCTGCACTACGGCAAAAAAAATTATAATCGCCTTTATTTATCATATAAATTGTACACTCCATATTTGTGACCATGAGCTAATAAAATAAAGAAATGTTTTCATTGTCGTTAGGAGTTGAAATTCTGAAGTGAAACAAATATATTCCATGTAACTTTTCGACTTGTTTTGTCTATCCAATTCTTATTTGATTTCATTTCTATTTCCGAAAAAAAAATACCTAATATGCAGTTGCAATTTTATCAATGAGTCTCATCAGTCATTCTTCGAGGCGTTGTTATTGTTGAATTCTCAAAGCATGTTGAGGATTATTGTTCAGAATACAATTTTCTGAAAAAATATATTCAACATTCAACCTGATCTAAAAATAAAAAATGTTTTATGAACTCCTGATTAAGTATGATATAGAAACGATGTATGAAACTGCTGTCAGGTTTTTTATTTTTTGCAGTTGTATAATTGGACTTTTCCAACGTCAAATTTCTACATTGCCATTGTTACTTTGCCCTATTTTCACTATGCGGAAATTAGAATTTATTTATAACTTTATTTTGCATTAAATTATCATTTCAATGTTAAGTTTTCAACTTTACACGTTTCGAAAAAATAAATAAAAATCAATTATGCAAATCACTAATGACAAGCAAACCCAAAAAATCTGATATTGTTGACCGTTAAACAAGTGTATTACAATGACGAAAACTCACATTATTCGAGTTGCTGCTTGCTTTTTTCCCTGAAGCCTCAGGAACCAACAAAGGCGTTCGTTCTTCATCCATATTTGCCACAGTTCAAGAAATAACGTAATAACGAAACCACACCACAACAATTGTGTGAGCACACAATGAAAAGAATATTACATCCAAAATAAATAAGATAATTCAGTATGCTTTGAATGTCTGGTGTAAATAATTATTTACTAAAGTTATGAAACAACTGCTCATGTACGGAAAGTTATTCTAAAAATGCCCTGTAAAAGGATACCTTTCGATGTAGGTACTTAGTTCATTAGCTATATCGTATATCACTCCACTAGAAAACCTTTTATTTACACCAACTGGTTTTACATTTCTAACAGAATGGGGACATTTTAATCGTCTTGCTATTGATCAATTCAGATGAACTTTCATTTTGGAGAACAATTTTCTTAGTTATAAATCAACTTGAAAGTGGCACAATTTTTTATGAGGTTTCAGCGTGTCTTTATTTTCCATTAGGAAATTTAGAGGTAATTTTAAGGTGTTCTATTAATATTTCTTCAATTTCAGAGGAACTTTTGGAAATAATTTTATTATGTGGTATTTAAAATGCTCTAAATCGTGACAAACTATAAGCGAAAAATTAAATTCACTTTTATTGAAGAAAAGGAAACATTGGTTGATTGTTCTGACCTCGCCATCTATTGGTAAGAGTTGAATCTACGCTAAATCGATTTGGATGTTTTCTTTCACCAACTCTATAAAGTTTTGTTCAGGACACACTACTACAAGATGTCTCTTGAATTATGATTCTAATTTGTTGAGAATATTGCAATTATCATATTATGCAATTATCATTGCAATAATCAAATTATGAACTGAATTTGAGATTTTTTGCTAAGCATCTCAAAATGAACTTTTTTTTATCTGAGAATCTATTATAGATCTAGAGATATTTCAATTTTCATATAACGTAGGAATTTCATGATTCCTCGAGGCAAATAAATCATGAATCCATTTTATCTTGAATATTCAATTTGAAGGAAGTATTGCCATCTATTGTCGGGATGCCTCAATTGAAGAAGCTCTCTGTATTATTTCATCTAGAATTTCATTATAGACGTGGTTTCCATTTTGAACCATTATTGGTGAGTAGATGGAACTATCAGCATCATTTTGAAGAAAATTTACGGGGACTCTCGACCTTCTCGAGTTTTTTTCGAATGAAATTGTTATTTAGAAAAATATCGAAAAATGGAAAAATAAAAAATGTTATTGTATTAGAAGTGTACAATGACGATGTGTACAATGACGATGTACACTTCGTCAAAATTCGTCACCTCAATGAAAGGGATTATGGAAGGAGAGTACGATTTGCGAATTGATTAAGACGTAAAAATAGAGAAGTTGTAAATATTAAAAAAGTGATATGGACGGACGAATCAAAATTCACTACCCGATGACAGTTACCTTTTTTCCCATTTAGTCGTCTTCGTATCTGTTACGGTTTAGAATATAGCAATATTACCACATGATATAGTATTTTGTCTATGTGTAATTCAATGTTCCTGTGGAAGTATTTGTTTCGGGAGGGTTTTTTCCAGTTCGGTTCTTGTCTGACAATTACTTCTATCGTTGATCCACAAATCTCTATTTTCATCCTAATTGTTTGCTTTCTGTATTTGGAAGTTTCACACAATTTTCAATAAAAAAAGGATTCAAAAACTCATTTCTCCTAAAAATATATCCCTTGTAATATCAGCAAAAACTTATTCCACCCATTTTTATCTGGGATTTAGATCTAGACTCCTCCCAATTTTGATGAAGTACTAATTAGATGTAAGAAATTGAACTCTGGTAGTATTTGACATTAGTAAAAAAAATCTGTTGAAAACCGTTTTTCCGTTATACTAGCTGTTGCCCTATCATGAACGACTTAGGAGATGAAACTTGTGCGAATAAAGGATTTCCGAGGTCTTATCTTTCAACGTGCGATTCCTAGCTCGGATTTGACAGTGAAAATCGATCATCCAGCCACAGAGCTCCAACTACCACTCCATATAGCGGTTGTTAACGTCCACCTTCCACAGTCTGGAAAAAAATAAAAATTGTAATGAAAAACTTTGTACAGGTCTAGAAAGAGCAAACTTTTTAGTTCATTCCGATAAACTTCTGCGTGAGTATTTTTTACAAACAAAATGTTCTACTTGAAAGTAACTTATCATATTCTGACTCTTCTCAACTTGTCAAAACAAGAGTTACGGAATTATACAGATACTGTATACGGAGTCGAAGTCTGCCTCCGTCTTTACAATTGGAAAGAAATCTGATGAATCTTGCAGTTTTTCTTTGGTTAGTTTCATTTCCCAAACGTCGTCGATGTTTAAGTAAATGAATGCAGATACCTTTTTTGTCAGTGGTAGAACCAAATGTTAGGTGGAGTTCAAGGTGGAGAATAGTTGGAATTCATTCAGTTGGAAAACAACAGATATTCTCGATGAGGGTATTTAGTGGTCCAAATTGATCTTGAACTCATTTTAATGTTACTCAGTGGTTATTGCATATGATATAATCCTCAAACACATCAGTTCACCGCATCATAAAATCATGATTGTTTAAATTTGTGCAAAGCTAAACCTCGTGACTCATGTAGGCAACGGTGGGGACACCTAATGCATCATAATGTACAAGATAGAAATCGTAATACACAGAAATTTACTCCATCATAACGTCAAACGATAGAAATCGCAATTAATCAACGGTTTATAGATAAAAAAAATTTTGATGGTTGTAGCTCTGTATTCTCGAGACTGTGTGTTTGATTAAGAAACATCTTGTGAAACTTGAGGTTACCACCCATCACCATACAACTCGTCAGAGCATGCAACAACATTTAAAATAACCTGTCCCTTGCAACTCTCTGGTCAAGGACTCCTTATTTTACAATGGTGTGAAGATGTCTGCCGAGTTACACTAAAGAGATAAATATTGATACCCATCAGCACAGTAAAATTATTAAAGAAATTTTGAGTAGTAGACCCTATTAGAGTTTGACTGAGTCCTATACCGATCATTTTTAACTTAGCATGTTTTATGTGTTTGTATGTTTCAACCATTGTTTGTGGTTTTTTATTCAGTGTTTTTATACTTTAGTTTACATTATATTTTATCTATATTTTTAGAACATTTATGTATTCTTTTATATTTATTCACTAACTTTGTCAACAAAATTTTTTCTTTGGGCAATAAAGTAAGTTGTCCAAAGAAATTATAAAGTATATATAATAATAAAAAACAATGAACACAATTTGGCTGCAACTTAGTACGGAAAGTTATTC